TTAAGCCACATTATTACAGTAGATGTTAGCTAAGTGAAAAAGCTTGGACTGTGTGTGTGTGTGTCATCCTCTATCCTTCACCCAGCCGGGGGCGTTGGACAAGTAGAACTGCGAATAATTTTATCAAATCTCATGCTCCGTTATGGTGTTTTTTATTTTGTGAAGACTAGTACTTCAAAAAGGGTAACTTTTGAGACAAGACAGGGAATAGGATGCACTAGATGTCCACAACAGGTACAGCAAAACATCACATAGACGCCCTTATTCACACTAACTACTCAGGGGGTAGAAGGTCAAGAAGAGCCACCGCCGCCAACTAAAGCTGGAACCGGGTACCTGGAACTCCCACGATATACCCGCGGCAATGGTCAGCAGACGATGCCCTGTGCGTATTTAGTATGTAATTTGTTTTATTTGGATATACAAAATGTTTGAAGCCATGTGTCATCTAAACCATAATTTGCATCACCATAATACACTTTTCAACAATCTTCAACTGGAACGTACTCACCAAATCATTACACCCGGAAGCGCATTTCCGATGCTTCCACGCATATTTTTCTCTAGTCATTTTTAAACAATTCCTCCTCGAGCGATTCCAACCACCCAATAACTAAATATCACTTTTCTTTTTCAAGTCACTTTGTGCACAAAAGCAATGCACATCGCCGTTCAAATCAAATTATCGCACCCGGGACACAAAACTATTCAAAACTGAAATTAAAAACTATCCCTCGCGATGCCTCAAATTTCTGTTCCAAAAGCACAAGCGAAGAAAAAAAACAACAACGTAGATGACGACATCTCTTCTGATACTTGCAAACACGTTTTCTTTCTCGATTCTAAAACTTCCACCAATCACACACGTAGAACCGTCCGGGAGGCAGAGTACCAGCGCTAATCAGGCAAAAGCACCCGAAAACTATGAAAGCAAACGCACGCACAAAACAGAGAGCAAATTTACAACACAACCGTATCCGAAGGGGTTCGAAACAGGACTCCATAAATGAAAAACCTTGGACTCAGACAAAAACACAGTAAATGGATATTTATCTGTAAACATTTTATTTCAATTTGTTGACATGAACCGGATGGGCACTGATGTATTTTAAGTATGTTTTATTATCTGGTTTGACTCATGATATGCATTTTAGTTAGCGAATGCCCTTTGGTTGGTGAAATGTCGACACAGCTCAGCGAACGTTGAATATATTTTATGGGATAATTATTTTACTTCTATTTTTTCAAACCAGTTAGTATGCATACGAAGCATATAATTTGAAATATTTCACTAAATACATATATAATATACTTAAGACATTTTTATGATGTAGAAGAATTATAGGAAATCTGCAAAACTGATAGATTTAAAGCTTTGATAAAAAAAACCTGAAAATTTTATGAAAGAATCCAGGAAAACCGAAAAAAAAACCAGGAATTTAAAATCAGAAATTCACTTGCCACCCTGTTTTGCTCAGAAAAAAAATATTTGAAACATTATGAATCATTTTCTGTAAAAAAAAAAAAACCAAATAGCGTACTAACAAAAAGTTCACAAATATGACCAAAATTTTTTGTTCTACGATTTTTGTTTTGATTTGGCAAAAGACCGTGCATTTTGATGACAAATCGTCAAAACTAATCTTCGTCCTCTTTTCTGAAGAATAAGATTTTGGACATTGAAAAAATGTCAAGACTCTTGGACTGAAATAGATTTTCAAAATGCAGTCACTTTGAAGAACTATGAAAAGAACATTGAGGAGATTTTTGAATGAATTCTAGGGATAGCAAGAAGATAAAGGGTGATACGGTCAAAATTTGGTCAAGGGAAAACGCGTGTAAATCGGTGAAATCGTTTATTTAAAAAATCAAATTAAATTTCTTTTTCAAGTTCAATTAGTATAAAATTCAGGAAAAATATTCAGTTAGGCTTCCGCTTTTCCAAATACGAATTGCCGGGCCTTACGCTTGACCCCTGCCATCAGATTTTGTACAGCCACCTTGTCCACCTTCTTCGCCGCAGAAAGCCAGTTTGCCTTGAACTGCTGCTCGCCCTTAGCAGTTTTTTTGGTCTTCTTTAGGTTCCGCTTGACAATAGCCCAGTATTTCTCAATTGGGCGGAGCTCTGGCGTGTTGGGAGGGTTCTTGTCCTTGGGAACCACCTGCACGTTGTTGGCGGCGTACCACTCCATGGCCTTTTTACCGTAATGGCAAGATGCCAAATCCGGCCAAAACAGTACGGAACAACCGTGTTTCTTCAGGAAAGGCAGCAGACGTTTATTCAAACACTCTTTCACGTAAATTTCTTGGTTGACAGTCCCGGAAGCTATGAAAATGCTGCTTTTCAAGCCACAGGTACAGATGGCTTGCCAAACCAGATATTTCTTTGCGAACTTTGACAGTTTCATGTGCTTGAAAACATCTGCTACCTTTCCCCTTCCTTTTGCCGTATAAAACTCCTGTCCCGGAAGCTGCTTGTAGTCGGCTTTGACGTAGGTTTCGTCGTCCATTACCACGCAGTCAAACTTCGTCAGCATCGTCGTGTACAGCCTCCGGGATCGCGCTTTGGCCGTCGTATTTTGTTTATCATCGCGATTTGGAGTCACTACCTTCTTGTAAGTCGATAGTCCGGCTCGTTTTTTGGCTCGATGCACGGTTGTAGACGATGCACCCAGCTTATTTGCGGCATCTCGGAGAGAGAGGTTAGGGTTTCGCTTGAAACTACCGGCAACTCTCTTTGTCGTCTCAGCGGCTTCCGGTTTTCGATTTCCCCCCGATCCAGACTTCCTGGCTGTCGACAAACGTTCCCCAAACACTTTAATTACATTTGTAACGGTTGATTTGGCAATTTTTAGCGATTTTGCCAACTTTGCGTGCGAGTAGCTCGGATTTTCGCGATGCGCGAGCAAAATTTTGATACGCTGCTCTTCTTGCTTGGACGGCATTTTAACAACTGAAGAGTGAATTCCAAAATCAAAATAGGAGCAACATTCTACACACACACACCTTCAAAATGAGGGGTGTTCAGGTTTTTTAAATGCAAAATTGAAAGAAATACGTCAAGTTGATATTGACCAAATTTTGATCGTATCACCCTTTATATCAGCAAAAAATTTCAAGGGAGTTCTGGGAAGTACTTTGAGATAGTTTTGATCATAATTCCAAGCCAACAGTGTGAGTTCATAGTAGATATTTTAGGTAGTTCTGTGGGAAATTCCAAGTTGATTGTGAAGGTCCATTTCTAATGAATATTCTAAAAAAGTTCTGAGAAGAATTTTTAGAGAGTTTCCATAGCAATTTCGAGGGTATTGAATTCTGAGTAGTGCTTCCTTTTCCCGACCTTTTTGACTAGGTACCTGGGAATTGGGGAACAGCAGGTGGCTCTTCCCATGCATCGGTAAATAATTATATCAAGTGATAAGAATTTTCATGTTTTAATTTCTGTTGAACGATACATGAAGAGCTCTGGCTTTCCTGAAATTGTCTTCCGACTCCCCGAGAGGTTTTTCCCTTCCTTTCAAAGAAGTTTCTTGTGGCATCGCCCGGAATTTTCTCCTTTTTTCCCGAAATCTACTTTTTACTTCCTCCGGATGAATTTTTCCTTCTTATTATTTCCCTCAGTTATTTCTTCAGATATTCTTCTGGTTTCTCGTGGAAAGTATTTCTGACCTCATTCCAAAACCTATCTAGCTAGTTTCTTTGAACTTCTTCCTATATTTTCAACCGAATTCCCTTGGAAGATTCTCCTGATTTTTTCCCAAAGTTTGTCCCGACATCTCCCAGAATTCTTTTTTACATCGTGCGGGAGTATCTATCTTCTGGATTGCTTTCGGATGTTTTTTCTGGCTTCTCCACGGAGTATTTTTTTTTGACAAACTGCCACACTTATTCGCATTTCAAGCTTATTGCTTAGTGCATATTAGCTTATTGCGTGCTCTAAACTTAGTGTTCTAAATGCCAATACCAATGCATGAATAATCTATATTGTGTGGCTAGCACAATGATATTCTGTGCCCAGGGAAGTCGAGAAAATTTCCAACCGGAAAGATTCCCTCGACCATACCGGAAATCGAACCCGCTGCCTCTGGCTTGGTAATACCGTGCCTTTACTGACTAGGCCATGAGGCCCCACTCTTCTGGCTTCCTTTTAAAAAAAAATCACTGGAAATTGTAACTGACTGCTTCCGGAAGTTTCTTTCCCCATCCCTTAGAAGATTTTTGCGACTTCACCTGGAATTGTATTCTAAACTCCTTGAGTAGTTTTTCTGGCTTTCTCTAGAAGTGATTTGCAAGTTTCCCCAGAAGTTTTTCGCCCAGACATTTATTCCGACATCTTTCGAAAGTTTCCTTCAATTCTTCGGAAGATTCTCCCAACATCCTCAACAAGAATTTTTGATTTACGCTGAAATTAATTATTTCTGTTTGCTCCGGATATTTTTTTTAACTTTTCGTAGAAGCCTCTAACAAAATCCCACGGAAGCTTCTTTCGACTTTCCCACGAAAATACAAAGCAAATTTTCCAGAATGATTTCCTGAGTGATGTGATCTATTTTTCACTAGTTATTTATATCTAACATGGCTTTTCTAAATTTCTAATAAAGGTAAAAAATTCACCTCCAAAGACGATTGTGCCACCTGTAAATCTAAATAGTTTTGCTTCATGCTCGAGGACATCTATTTTCAAGCCATTTTGAAGCAGAAAAACGACAAATTTTAGGTTTTATGAACATTTGAAAAATAAGCCATATCCTACTGAGCATTATACTGCCCGTAATCGCATATCAGTCCCATATGGATAGGAAATCAAGCAAAGATGGGACTGCTATGCGATTATGGGTAGTATACACTAGCGATACTGAGAAGTTATAACGTGTTAGGCTATCTTGATGACATTTTTCTTTTCGTAAATCGTGTTAGCTCTCAAGCAGGGCATTACTAGTATAATCTTCAACTTGTTGTGCAACCATAAGTAAAACTATGTCTTCTATCTCCATTTCCAGGACGTATGGGAAGAGGCGGAGCGCTACCCACTCTACTGCCATCTGGGCGACAAATCGATGTACTTCTTCAGCACGATATCGAGCGCCAACAACAATAGCTACGAGTTGAACGATGAGACCAAACGACTGATGGATATCCAGCCAGTATTGTGCATGTTTCGCTTTGTGGAGAAGCAAGTTTCGGTTAACAACAAGCTAATCAACAACATCACCAACCTGCTCGGGAAGACCCTGTCGGAGAAAACGCTCAAGAACCCGGAGGTGAATGACTTTCGCACCAAAATGAGCTACCTCTGCGAGGACATCGCCAACAAGCGTGCCGCAATGAATCGGATGGAACGGATAGCGTACCAATATCCGCCAAAACTGGTCAGTAGCCAACATATACCGGAGCTGGTGAAGAAACGCATCACCAATGGGGACTTCTGTGTGGTTGCTAAAAGTGCTGACATGCAGGTAACGGTGAAAATACCGTGCAAAGCAACGCCCGATGAAGTGATCAAGCGCATTTTGGAGAAGAAGCAAATATTTCTAAACACACGTAACGAAAACAGTGCCGAATTTATCCTGAAGGTGTGCGGCCGAGAAGAATACATGTTTGGCGAGCATCCCATCATCAACTTCCAGTACGTGCAAGACTCGTTGTCCCGCGAAGAAACGCCAACATTTGTTCCCAAGTTACTGCGCAATGTGGACATTTTCGAGGATAACATTTACGAAATTCCAGAGGACATTAGCCAGAGAACGAATAGTACAGGAAGTAGGCAACCGCCGCATACATTACGGAAAGTGAAATACGTTACTAGTTGGGATACCGAGGGTCCGTTACAGTGTATGGTGAAGGAAATTACGTCCTTGAATTGTGACTCCAATCGGAATGTCGAGGTTGGCATCCAGCTTGGGCTATTTCATGGAGGAAAATCTCTTTGTAAACCAATGAAAACACAATTGGTGGCGTTGAATGGTGGTCGGGCGGTGTGGAATGAGTCTGTAGTGTTTGATATCGATGTGAAGAATGTTCCTAGGATGGCAAGATTGTGTTTAGTTATTTATGAAAATGTTCGGACGGCGAAAGGTGTTGGAGTGCGAGCACGTCGAACTAAGGACGGTTTTATGAATCCCATCGCTTGGGTGAATACCATGTTGTATGATTACAAGAATCAGTTAAAAACCGGGCCGGTCACATTATACACTTGGACCTATGCGGAAGATCTGCAATCCGAGGACGTTCTGCATCCGCTCGGTACGGTTGAGCCGAATCCCCGGCGGGATGAGTGTTCCTCGATAATTTTAAGCTTTCACAACTACTACCAAGAGAATAAGATTATAGTGTATCCCTCGGAAGACCAGCTGCTGGCACACGCCGAAAAAATGCGCCGAATAAATAGGCATTTAAATCGAGACAGTGCAGAGGAGATGCGCCCCATCAAGGAGATCCTGATGCCGTACATGCACAACGATAGACTGAATGATATGCACGAGCAGGATCGTAATGCAATTTGGGCGAAGCGAAGTGAGTGTATGAAGTGGGAGCCTGACGGGCTGCCCTGTTTGCTGTACTGCGTTGAGTGGAACGATCGCAATGAGGTAAGTTCGGATCGCTAGTTGCGTTTGAATATATTCCATATGGACGGTTTCCTACTTGTTTCCCAAAGCCGCGATTGGCTTGAGCGCTTAACGCGACTGCTAAATTTTATTAAAATAGTTTTGAGGTTTTCCAAATGGGGTTCTGTGGTTTTCTTCTAGTCTTCTTTATGTTTCTTTTGGGCACTGACAAAACGAGCTTAGTGATCTAACTGCACTTCCACATATATTTGTATATTGTATGGCAAGTACAATGATACCATATACCAAGGGAAGTCGAGAAAATTTCCATCTCGAAGGATTTCGTTGACTGGACCGGTAATCAAACCCACTGCATCCGGCTAGGTAATAGCATGTCTCTACTGACTAAGCTATCTGAGGCTCATATGAGGGTTGTGTGGTATGGTTGTGATTACAATTCAAAATAGAATCGTCTACATTTCTGTAGGTTTGATGGTCCAATGCAGTGCTGTTAATTTTCATATCATTCGATTGAAGATGAACCAATACAACCATTGCATCAATTCTGTGAAGACGAATTCTCACATAACTATAATTTGAAGAGCCCCTTTCTCATTCGAAGCTCATCATCACTGTCAATTGAGTCACTCACTATCATTTGATATACGACAGTGGAGTATGGAAGAAACCCAGCAAAATGGTCCCGAACAGACAATGTAATGTAAGGCAAATTTAAGGTCGATGTCGACCCAAAGTCGTGCTGTCGGGTCAACATAGGGTTTGGGTTAGCTAGAAGTCAGGTTGGTGTCGGGTTGGCTTAGCTTTTTCGCCGGAATGTCGACCAGAGCTCCGTTTATGTGTAGGTTACACTCAATTGGGTTCTTTAGTTTTGAAAAATATATCATTTTCTGAGCACAGCGATATTTTTTTCAAACCCACAAACTTTCATCTCGATTTTTAAATCAAGATTTATATCAAAAGAATAACTTCACTGTTTGACACTAAACTGACAGCTCGCTCCAATACAAAGAGACACCTAGGGGCGCTAATAAGGTGATTTTTGCAAATGTAATCGTATTTATTTAAAATAGTTTCAGTGTATCAAAATTGATAAAATTTTGGATTCGGGTTCCATTTTTGATGCAGATTACGAATATGCATTTAGCTCACTACCCTTAAAGAACCCAATTAAATGATATCAAGCGTTTCTCAAATGAGAATGATCCATGCCTTCGTCAAATGACTAAGCAACACCCATTCGAAGGAGGTTCCCTTTGATAGCGGATAGCTGCTTTTCTTATTTTCATCAAAAATGTTCAATTGATTTTGAGAATTTACAGCACTGGTCCAATGTACAGAAAGTGTTTGTGCTTCTATAGCAATCTCAACAATTCCAGCGAGTGGTTCACAGAACTCCTGAGAGAAGTGTTCAGAAAGTTTTGCGAAGGTCCCTCGGACTTTCCCTTTGTTGCTTCCCTAACTTTATCTCCAGGAAGCCTCCGGACTTTACCGAGCAATTTTTTGAACTTCGTTCTAGAATGAGTACCTCCCAAGTTCCTTTAGAAGTTTGCTATATATATTTAGGATAGACTTGTAAAGGTAATATAGCCTAAAGGCAACTATTCGGTAAAGGCACGGTATTACCAAGCTGGGGATGGCCGGTTCGATTCCCAGTCTCCAACTTACTGCACAACACATCGTAGTTGTCGGTTCCTATATTCGTACTTTGACGCGAAGCGCTCTGGATTATGAGATGCTCGATGACCCTGGAGGGATCGATTTTGCTTACTGAGCAGAAAATCATGGATTAAACCCAAAGCTCTTCCACAGCACAATAAATCGCCACCATCATTTGTATATTTGATATTGAACATTAACCTCGGAAACTATTATAAACTATTCCTGTAATGTCGCGAAGCGTTATGGTTCTGAGATGCTCGATGACCCTGGAGGGATCGTTTTTGCTTACTGAGCAGAAAATCATGGGTTTAATCCCAAGCTCTCCGTCATGACTCTTAAAATTCATGATCACTAAACAAAATGAATATGTTCTTTCGATAGCCGGCTATCGAGAGATTAAAGAAACAACAAATAAACAATATACTTTTGGTTGCATCGCCAACTTGAGGTGAATCCTAACCGAATACTCTACCCAACCCTCCAACTCCGTAGCACTTATGAGTGTGTCGCTAAGTCGGTGGCCTCTCGTTAAGTAAGTACTACATCAACATTTCCTTCCCCATCCCTAGTTATGGTAAAGATGGGCGTGGCCTGGAATGGCGACAGTCATGCTTCTGTTACTCTTGTTTAGATTGGAACCACTCCCCAGCATTATTGCTGAAAGTAGTCTAACTGAGAATTTCCGAAGAGACGTGATTGTCGCTAATATCCAATCTACGAAGTATATCATAACAACGCTAACACATTGTAGTTGTCGGTTCCTATCTTCTCGATTACGGTTGCTGGTTCCCACTGCCAAGAACTCGCTCGATGTACATATACGAAATCACCGTGCTGAAAACCTCTCTGGACTGCGCCGTGCTTTTGGTTGAAGGCGGCATTCTGTTTCTTCCTGTCTCTGGATATGGTTGCCATGTTCGGTCTGCTGGAGATTTACCATCCAGATCGCCATTTGGTGTAGCGTGATATACTTGCAGGAAAGTGTTTAGTGCTTCCTCAAGCGTTTCTCCTCTCAAACGAATTTTCCGGAGGCTTCTCTTCAATGCGTCCACGAATCTTTCGGCAAGCAGCTTTGATTATGGATGATACGGAGCAATGAGAATATGACAGATCCCATGACTGGTGCAGAAATCTTGAAATTCATGACTTGAAAACTGGGTGCCGTTGTCAGACCCGATTACGATTCAGCAGGTTGATTCTGGGTTTCGATGTCGTAGATTTGGTTGCGTGCACCTCACGCCATTTGCCTGCGTCAGGAGTAAATTTGATTGAAGTGTTGCCTTGAACGTGTCGAAAGCCTTCTTACACTCGGAAGTCCATCGCCACTTTGTTTCTCCATCGGATGACGCAATTCGAGTAAGCTGCGCATGAATCTTCCATAAAAATTGACAGCGCCTAGGTACGACCGTAATTCGGAAATGTTACTTGGAGGGGGAATTGTAGTTATGGTCTCGGGATCTGGACGGATGTCTTGTGCGTCCACGATGTACCCGAAACGGCACTTCTCAGCTTTAACGTGGAAACCATACTCCTTGAGTCGTTGGAAAAGTTGATTGAGTGAGGCTGCATGCGACTCCATGTCCTTCTACGAGTATGCCGAAGTGGGCCAAAAAATCAGCCCCAATTATTGGCATCGTTACTTCAGCAACGAGGAAATTCCAGGTGAACCTTCGTCTCAATCCCAGTCTCAACATCAGGCTGCGTGGAGATGTTGCATAACAGTATCGTTCGATCGATCTCTCCTGGAAGCGGGTAACATTGGAGCGTCCGACCCAGTATCAATTAGAAAGCGTGTATTGTTCGTCCAGTCAAAATATACAATTCGGCGACTTTTACACACCGTTGATGATGGTGGGGAGGGTTTTAGTTTTTTGAACTCCACGAACACGGTTCTCGGCACCGCTGAGCATCGTTTCCATATTTTCGATGGTACCAGCGCATTCCGGATCGTGATGACGAACGAGAACCACTCCGATTTTGCGAAAACGAACGATCCCGTTCCGGGTTGGGAACCTTCAGGCGTCGGATTTCCGCAGTTAGAAGTTCGATCTGTTCAGCTCGTTGTGCACCATGGCAACTGCGGAGGAATGACCATTGGAGGCGTCAGTGATCTTGTCTGCCATTTCAGCCAACTTCTCGATTGGTCGAATATTTGCCGGAAGACGTTGAATGAAAATAATTGTGGGTAGATTGTTATCTACTCCCAAACCCGTCCACAATTCTCTCATATTTGCCAAAAGATGCGTTGGGTGCATATCGCCAAGATCGTGGGCTCCCAGCAACTGTTCGAAGCGACTCTCAGCCGACAAGGCGTAGCGAGCTATTAGGAGATCCTCTTTACCGTCTTGTATTTATTTTCCGCAAATCGGCTATGTGACATATAATCGATTGATCCACTTTGGCCATGATGTGGTAAAACTTGGTTTCGATTTTTTGCAAGGTGGAACTGCACTTCCGCTCGCGCAAACCACATAGCCGGATCAGTTTTCCAGAAATCCGGTAGTTTTACCGCGATGGATGCTACTGCGTTGCTCTCGTTATCGTTCGGCATTTTTAGGTTAGAGTTTTGGCTTCGAGATTAAACTAGGTGAATATCGATATGTAACCATGTAATCGAACCGAAACTTTACGATTCGCCTGTCAGCAATGTAGAGATTGAACACAGAGTTAATTAGCGCTTAGTGACCGCTCGAGTTCTTTTTCTGCTTTTGTTGACGAGCCAATGCAAACACCAAATTGACCAGTGTTGCCGGGCAATGCCACAGGTTCTACGAAAATTTCAACGATTCTAATTGATGAATTTACGTGACGGTTGACCAGCAGATGGAAATGATGTGAAAAGTATAATTACGTTTTGCTACCTGTCGTATGGAATATTTTTTAGTACATCATCAGTTTTGTAATTAATTATATCTAGATAGAGCTGGAATTAGGGCCTAACAGCTTTTGTAAACAAAGACTTTTCTTGATGATTTCTTGAAATTCAACGCTCGCCCATGCAAACCAACATCCTCATCGGGTAGAGAAATACTCTCCCTGTTCGATGGTTATGTTGGACTGCGTGGGCGTGCCATGAATTCCTAGAAATCATCGATAGAAGTCATTGTTTATAAAAGCTGTTACGCCCTAATTCCAGCTCTATCTAGATATGATTTGAGTAGTAGCTATACTGAAGATCCGAGAGATGTAGCCCCTTCAGTGGTAGGAAAATCATTTTTGCAGTATGAAGAATATAAGAAAATCCACAATTTGTTACTAAACATGCTTTCACAGAAGAAAACAAATAAACGAGTGTTTACCTTATCACCGTAGTAATGTACTCGTGCAATTTTTGTGCATTTTAAACTGCCCATAAAGACGATAATGAATACTGAAAATTTTCATGCGTTGCCAAATGGTTTCCTACCATTCCCATACATTCGAAACTGATTGGCCCTCTGGATGTGGATGATGCCAAAAACAACAAAACTTGATTAATTGCAAAATTTGGAAGCTATTAGCGAATTCGTTTATTATTCAGTTCCAACCTGGATCGAGTATTAAGATTGAGTCTGCTTGTTTTCTGACAAACGTCAGTTTGCTCGTTTGTTTTTAAAACCTAGCTCAGGTTGAGGTTCGCACTGACAAAAAGTTTGGTTTCGCCCGATAATAAACGAATTAGCTATAGGTGTCGCATGACCAGTTTTTTTTTTTTCAGTGCCAACATTTCAAAGGGGCGTAATTGCATTGGTAAACAATGGCTTTAGCCGTCGATTTCTCGCAAATAAAAGCTCACTCATGAAAATTAATGACACCAACAGGTAGAGGACTGTTTCCTCCGCCAGTTAGCAATGCTAAATTTAGAGTTTGCGAGAAACTCGACGGCTAAAGTCATTGTTTACAAAAGCAATTACGCCCTTTTGAAATGTTGGCACTGAATTGATGAATTTAAGCCGGGACGGGACTAAACAATCCAGCTTCTCACTCTTCTTAATGTTTTTGATGAATGCCCGTCGAAAATTAGTGCATGGTGTTTGACGGAGTTGACCAATGATTGCAGAATGATTTTTCTATTTAAATTTGAATTTGATTCGGAGTTTCTGCCGTAGTTTAGCACCTTGTACATCATTTTTGCTTAACACAATAAAAACAACCATAAACAAACAAGAATATCGATCGCTAAAAGCACGCCGTGGACCCTATTATCCAAGTTTACTTTTACAAATATAAACAATTAACAACGCCATTGACGTCAACATTGATTCCGGCATCACTACCAGTCAGATTGATGTGATCCCTCTGTCCTTTTTATTCCTCGATTGCTACTGTCAAATAGACCAATCAGCAACTGGCTCGGATTTGTCAGCAAATTGGCTCGAAATCGCTACCCGATTATGAATTTATGTACGGTCGACCAGCAGATGATGAGAAAATGATAATGACGTTTTGCTACCTGTCAAATCGTATGGAATATTTTTTAGTACATCATCACTTTTGTGGTTTTGGATTTCAAACCTAGGTGTCGCATGCACTGGTGCAGTTTCGCGTAAATTCATCAATTAATCAAATTGTCGAGCAGTTTTGGGACGACCTTCTACCAGCGATTTTACGGAAATGAAACAATCAATTCCAGATTTTTCAAGCATTTTACAAATAAGACCCTACTTTCTCGAGGTTGTAGAAGAAAAAATATTAAAATATTGTTCCACGTTAAAGTTCGAGTGGTAGGAAACGTCAGTTTAAACTGCTCGAATGATGTGATCCATTGTCAAGTCCCGTCCCAGAATTTAAGCAAAGGTAAAAATGGCCATGCGACACCTAGTTTTCAGATTTGCAATTACAAAATTGATGATGTACTAAAAATATTCCATACGATTTGACAGGTACCAAAACGTCATTATCATGTTTCACATTATTTCCATCTGCTGGTCGACCGTCACGTAAATTCATCAATACCCCGTACAAACTATGGCTTATATCATGTAATACACTGGAGTCGCTTTTTACGCGGGTGATACGTCCCGCGTAAAAAAAAACCGCGTAAAAAAAAACCGCGTAAATTCCGGAATCCGCGTAAAAAAAAACCGCGTAAATTCCGAAATCCGCGTAAAAAAAAACCGAGTAAAAAAAGACCGTGTAAGAAAAAAACGCGTAAAAAGCGATATACCGCGTAAATTCTGAAATCCGCGTAAAAAAAAACCAAAATCCGCGTAAAAAAAAACCGCGTAAATTCCGGAATCCGCGTAAAAAAAAACCGCGTAAATTCCGAAATCCGCGTAAAAAAAAACCGCGTAAAAAAAAACCGTGTAAAAAAAAACCGCGTAAAAAGCGACTCCAGTGTATAGGCTGTCTTGCAATGAGCACTCATACATCTAGTTTTCACTGTAAATCCTATGTATGAGTATTCATTGCAAGATGGGGTATAGGATACACTTATTGTGTGGGTGCCCTTCTAAACTTTCCTAAACTGAGTGTCCAGAGTCCAAGATTGTTCCTTTTTTTCTGATTCGGTGAAGGCGTAAGGCTTCGGAACGTTCGCGAAGCGACCAATTTGTACCATATTTTGAACCAAATTGCGTACTCACCAAATCCCATTTTTTTCTATTCGTTACAGGTAGCTGAGATCGTTTCGCTGCTGCAAGAATGGCCCATCCTTCCGGTGGAGCGCGCTCTCGAGCTGCTGGACTACGCATACGCCGATCAGTACGTCCGGAGGTACGCGGTGAAGTGTCTTCACGCAATCCAGGACGACGAGCTGTTGCTCTACCTGCTGCAGCTGGTGCAAGCTATGAAGCACGAATCTTATCTCTACTGTGATCTGGTCGACATTCTGTTGCAGCGATCGTTGAACAATCAGCATATTGGGCACTTTTTCTTCTGGCATTTACGGTCGGAGATTCAAGTTCCCTCCGTTCAGGTCCGGTTCGGTCTAATCCTGGAAGCGTATTTGAAGGGCAGCCAGGAGCATATATCGATACTGTTGAAGCAGATGCAGTGTTTGAGGAAGTTGCAGCATGGTTCAGAGCTGGTTAAAAAGGGAAATAAGGAAAAGGGAAAATCGTTACTGATGGATTACCTGCAAGATAAACCCGTTGGTGATGCCATGTCCGATGTGATAAGTCCGCTTAATCCTAGCTTTCGTTGTAAGGCCGTACGTAAAGAGAAGTGCAAAGTAATGGACTCGAAGATGCGACCCCTGTGGATTGTTTATCAGAATTCAGACATTAATGGGGACGATATTAACATGATCTTCAAGAACGGTGACGATCTTCGGCAGGATATGCTCACATTGCAGATGCTGCGAATCATGGATCGAATCTGGAAAAGTCATGGATACGATTTTCGAATGAATCCGTACAGCTGTATCAGTACCGATCGCCGGTTGGGGATCATTGAGGTAGTGCTTAATGCCGAAACTATTGCTAACATTCAGAAGGAGAAGGGAATGTTCTCGGCCACATCTCCATTCAAGAAGGGTTCCCTTTTAACGTGGCTCAAAGAGCACAACACAACGGACGAAATGCTGGCGAAAGCAATACAGGAATTCACGCTCAGTTGTGCAGGCTATTGTGTCGCAACGTACGTCTTAGGAGTAGCCGATCGGCATTCCGATAACATTATGGTGAAAAAGACTGGTCAGCTGTTCCATATCGATTTCGGCCACATCCTCGGCCATTTCAAGGAAAAGTTCGGTTTCCGTCGAGAACGGGTACCGTTCGTGCTGACACATGATTTCGTTTATGTAATCAATAAGGGTCGAACGGATCGAGAAGCTCACGAGTTTCGACAGTTTCAGCATCTTTGCGAAGAGGTAAGTTGAAGCTAAGGAAAACTAAAGAATTTAAATTAACGGGACTTTTTTCTCTCTCCATCAGGCGTTTTTAATTCTAAGAAAGCACGGTTGTCTAATCCTATCACTGTTTGCCATGATGATCTCGACTGGTCTACCCGAGCTGTCGTCGGAGAAGGATCTTAACTATCTAAGGGAAACTTTGGTGAGTATTGTGACATTTCCATAAAATGCATTACATTTGACCATAAAACTCAACGAACCACATGCTTCATTCTAGGTGCTCGATCTACCGGAGACGGAAGCGCGCGAACATTTCAAGTCAAAGTTCAGCGAAGCCTTGGCCAACTCGTGGAAAACGTCGCTCAATTGGGCTTCGCACAACTTCTCCAAGAACAATAAACAGTGACAGTTGCGTTACAATCTCACCATGTAAGCCCATCATGGGGCGGAACAGTGATTTCATCGGCCGTTTCCCGTTCCTGCTGGAAAGGAATTGGTAGAATAATGCTTTCAAAATCGTGGATAACAATTAATGATTGCAAGTCGAATTGTGGAACGGCGATGTACCGCCAGTGCAAGACACTTTACGTATTCAATATATTGCGCAATTCGTGATTCATTTCTCATTTAGTATCGTCATCTAAATTGCGAATTTTCATAGCGCTAGTAAACAAATTGTGAAATCATGTATCCCACATGTAGATGTCCTTTTGTGGCGTTGTACAGTTTTAAGAGTTATTTTTAGTTAATACAAGAAATATGCATGGTAATTCAGTGATAATGATAATATAGTTAGCCTATTTTTAGTTAGTCACGTTTTTAGTGTACAGTTAAAACAAATTGTGTAATTTGCGTTTTCAGTAGGAAATTTAAAATTTATGTTCGTCAAGATTAGTTAAAACAGGGAGCTTGAATGGAGAGACTTTGTGGACTTTGTAATAAATTTGCGCAAAACGATTTGCTGGCCTCATTGGACCGGTCGATCCCATCGCGCTAGCCTAGAGATATTACCCCAAATAAACTGCAGATAGTTGCAAACGACTGATAGATCAAAACGTTATATTAAAATTAACTGAAATGTATATTATTAAAACTGTAACGAAGCAGCTTATCTAGGCGTTCTAGTTTACTAATTTAAAAAAAGTGGTTTGAAAGATTGTATAGAATAAGTAAATCAATTTTATAGCATAGCTTAACCGTAATCCTAACATCTAGTACGATTAGGAAAGGCGGAGTCGTCCGCTTAAAACAAACTTTAATGGACAAGAAACAGTAAAATGATTAACTGAAAATATGAATGAATCAGTTTCAAACTTAATAGGTATGGTTTTAGTGATGAATTGAGAAACATCCCTCGTTTTGTTCGATTCGGTGTAATCATTAACACATATTTGAGATAACGACACATAATGCCAGGTGCTCACTGGTGCGACATCCCCTAGGTTGTCAAAACATTACGTAGACATAATGTTTTGACATGTTGTATGATGCCACATCACCGCCACACCAGTGGGCGCCTGGCCTAATGCCGGGTGTGTGGGGTTTTTGTTTTAGTAAGGTTTAGGAGAACTTCGAAAGCCTGGCCCTGTAGTGTAGTGTTGCAATGCAGTTACCCAGTTTATACCCATTTGTTACCGCAGGGCCTAATTCAATTCTCAGATCTTCCAGAAGGTTCTTGCAATTTTTCTGATGTTAAGGAACTAACATAAAGTTCTCAAAATTTTCCTAAACTTCTTAGAACTTCACTTAAGTTCTAGCAATTTTTCAGACGTTCATGGGACTCTTAACTTCTATGAATGTTTCTGTACTTTGTTCTTGGAACATCTGTACAGGTTTTTCAATTATTGTGAAGTTATTCGAACACGCCTGAAGTTCTCAGAATTTTCCACAATTTTTTTGAAACTTCCCTCAAGTTTTCAGAATTTTTCGGATATTTATGGGATTGCCGTACAGATCTCGGAACTTTCCCTAAATTTTCCTGAAGATCATTGAACTTACTTGTAGTCTTCTGAAGTTTCTTGACGGTCTTGTTAAGTTCCTGGAATTTTTTTGAAGTTAATGGAAATGTCGCGAAGTTCTCTGATCTACATCTAAGTTCACGAAAATTTCCTAAAGTTCATAGAACTGAACTGAATTTCTCGGAATAATCCCCTAGATCTTTGATCTTCCCAAAAGTTCTGAACATTCCTGTAGTTCTTGGAAGTTTCCTGAAGTTTATGAAACTTCTCTAAACGCTTCGGATAATCACTAAAGTTCTTGGAACAGCATTGAAGTATTCGAAATTAAACTAAGTGTGGGGTGTATGAAAAATTTGTTCACCAGCTTCTCCCGAAAGGTACATCTTATTTCACACGGAAGCTCTATCTATTTCCATAAAAATCCTTCTGGCTTCCCCTGAATGTGCGGAAAATTATTTGAAGATTCCTCCAACATCCTCCGGAATTTTCAGCCGACATCCTCCGGAAGTTTCATCTAGCTCATCTGGAGAGGTTCTTCTAATTTCCTCATATAATTCAGATAAGTAAATTTCCAGGGTGATGTAGTCTATTTTGAGTGAGGTGTTTTCAGGGATGTTAGAATTTTTCCCGTCAGCCCGTCGCTGCACTTTACTAATTAAAAAAATATGGTGAACAATTTTTTTTTAATTGACAGTTTCAAGTTCTAGAAGCTGTGTGTAATGAAAGTTCTCGGAGCATCAGAGTTCCCAGGAGATTTAGGAACTTTCCTATTTTTTCTGGAGTTCCTTGAATTTATCAGAACTTCTATAAATTTCCTGATATTTTCCTAAAGTTCTCTGATATGCGCGAAAAGCGACCAACAAATCTTTTTAAATGTTTGGATGTACACAGCAAAAAAAAATGTAATATCGATCAACGTAATTCAAGCTGATGTATGAAATAATGATGTAATAGCAAAAAGCAAATACAATATTACATCAATGGATGTAATTTTGTTCGCAAAATCGATGTACATCGTACAATGTGATATTACACAACCGATGGATTGACCTGGTTGCAGCAGTTTCGATGTAATATTCAACAACTTTTTTTGCTGTGTATATTTGGCATGCTAGAGTAAATATAGGGTATACGTCCCTAACCTCGGTCTAATATGCAGCCATAGATTACGTTTTTAATCATAACTCATCAATTAATTTACCTGCAAACGATATTCTACTGCTAAATGGTATGCTTAGATATGCTTATCATGTCGTTTGCTATCAGGAACCGCAAAAAGTTGAAAAACTTACTTTTTTTAAGACAAAAACTCACCAGGGAAATGTATGTAATATCGGTCTATTGTCCCCAAATTGGGTCTATTTATGGATGCAACTTCGTCCTATCCTGTTTGATTCTCAAAAAAAACGCTCTTGGTAACGTTTTCTTATGTATTTTTTTTTATCACTATCACTGTTAACTTAATACTCTTCATTCCTCAAAACATTTCTTAGAGAAAATTTTACGAAAACTACATTAAATCACTCAAGTTAAAAATTAAAAATTAAAAATTTCGCTTATCGTCTTTCGACCGCAGAATATCTAAATCAAAACATTGTGATGTTCATTATACAGATTTGGCAGAAAAAATCTCCCTTCCTGTTCGTTCCTTATCATCCAAATGCAAACCACATTGTTGACGTTACTCTTATTGCTATATGCTGTCAAATGAATTTCATGGGCCAAAGTTAGGAACATAGAAAAGAAATGTGTCCCTAAAGTTGGGTCCATGATTTACTTGTGAAAACGTTGTTAAACAATTAAAATAAACATAAAATATTCAAACAGTAACTGTGAGTTTTACGTTTAGTGTGTATTATCAGGTAATTCCATTCAATAAATGCCATAATCAGGCCATTTGATGATCGTCAGTGCAACCTTCCCATCTTAACCTTAGAAGTCATGGCGGCTAAAAACTCCGAACAGAGTGATATTCTCAACCAGTTTTATTACTTACGAGAGCTGAAAATGTATTGAAATGTTGTGATATAAATTGATTTGTGTGTGGTACACATTTATCAATCATCAGTGATCAATATTTTCCTTATTTTTTGTGTAATATTCCTTAATTAATTATTTATTTGCGTGATAGGCCGAATGAAAGGACTAGACCCACATTACATACCGTAACCCTACATTTTTTTTTATTCGGTGAACCAGAATATTCTATATTAATGATTTTATACTTCTTACTATACACGGTAAGAAAAAAGTCCCCAGTTCACTTTTACCTACTTTTGACTAGTTTGTCTCCTTTTCTCCTTCTAATGTTGTCAAAAACGGAGGGGCAAAACCACCTAACAGGGGTAGTAAAGTGTGGGAACCCAACGTTGAGTATAATCATATTTACCTTCGTTTGGGTCCAAATAACTTACTTTTGGGTAGAAATCTAGTGGAAAATTCCATTCGAATTGAACACAAGTAAATGAAAACTACTTTGACCTGCCGTACCTACTTTTGGTTTCCTGCACAATAGTGCCGAGATGAGTGAAAAGAACTTACTTTTGAGTACTTTTTTCTTACCGTGTAGCATCAATTTTGACATCAGTTGTTCATTTATTGGCCGTTGGTGTGCTCCAGTTTTTGGCCGATTACCGGGTGCGAACTCAGAGCCATCTCTCCAAGGAGATAGCTCGTAAGCTCTGTATGAGCCGGATTGGAATCTTCTTGCAAATATATTCATATGGTTCAGATTGCAAATATATTCATATATTTAAAGCGTGATTCAGATATGGTTGTACTTGGCTCATCTGCACGCCCATACGCTCTTGCGAGGCTCTTGCTAAACAGAAAATTGCATAGAGTCGTCAAGCGGGAACCACTGAACGCACCGAAAATCACTGTGCACCGGGCAAATTTTCTAAATTCAGCAAGGTCTTATAGTTGACCGATCGGTAGGCCATCCGTCGCAACGGGGCATCTTGCGATGAATAAGTTGAACTAGTGATCCGTGCAAATCAAACAAACGGCATATCCTACGAGAGTGACTCTCTGTCACCAGTGATGTGCAAAATAAATGGATAGCCATCTCAAACGAGATGACTATTGTCACCTCACTAGTGACAGAGAGTCATACGTATCGTAGAATAGGCCGAGGAGAGTCACGTCACGACGTGAGCTTTGTCATCTAACTAGTTCCATCATTCCATACCGGAAAATGATCTAATTTCCGTCCTACTAAGCACATCCCACACTTTACCTCTCTTTTTTTGAAAGGGTTTGAACAAAACATGGAATGTTGCCTTCAAAGATAACTACTAAATTTATTCACCTTTCCACACAAAGAAAAATCGTTGCTAAAATTAAAAAAACCATTGGTAGAATTAAAAGTTTGCGTTGATTCTTTTTGGTAGAAAGCGTTTTGCTTTCAAAATAAAAGTCAGCCAACTGTCAAGTCAAAAGTTTCGCAGCCAGAACTTTTAAAAGTTAAAACTTTTAAAATGAATTGTACTACTGTCAAACGAAAAGCATGGCAGTGTTGAAATTAAAAGCGAATTCAAATCAAACTCTTGAAATGAAAGTGTTGTACAGTTGACATAATAGGTGTCATTTTGAATTGAAGAATCGAATATTTTCAATTTAAAAACAAGTATTTTTACTTTCAATTTTATTGAATATTAAATTAATTTTTTTTATTATTAGATATAAAGGGTCAAACTATATTTATTATATATTTTGAATAATAATACAACAACCGTTTACGTGCGATCCACAAAAATATCTGCCTCAATAGAACGTCCTGGTCCTGAACACCATCACCTCATCCATCATATCCCGTCTGATGTGGTCTAGTCATTCCTCTGCAACTATGAAGCTTTGTTTGTTATCTTCTCGATGGACCTTTTGACCAATGACTCATCCACCGGTGGATATCCAATCCCTGTATGTGATGCGGTTCCAGTTGGGAGAGACATTTATCGTCGATCTTCACGCTACGACAGTGAAATTTGATTTCCTCCAATCACATCTTTTGACCGGTGACCAGATAATCTTAGAAAACCGAGGGAAAAACAGGTAAAAGTCTATATCGTAATCCCGCACCAGGTCATTTCAGCGCTCAGTACCTCGTTGGAGATGGAATGGCTGTTGATGTGGCTACGGTAGTGTCCGATACCAGCGAAAATTTCGATGATTTCCTGCTACTTGTGTTACAACGATGAATTAAACGATAGGTTGTACCGGTTCAATCTCGGTATCATTTTTGGAATGATCTTCGCCGTGTTTATATTGATCCCGACGGTGTCGTTGCACCGAGACAAACACTATACACCAAACCAAAACATCCGCAATACTTCGAATGATTATTGCATTGCTCGAGCCC